GGAAGGGGTAGCAGAGGTGGAGGGAGGACAGAGGGGGGAGTCAGAGGGGGCGAGGAGGGCGCCTGCCCAAACCAGCAACACCCCATGTTGCATTCTAACACCTATTTATTTATTTATTTTTTCTTGTACCTCTCTCTCTGAACAAACCTATCAATCGGTTTTCTCTCTTCGTTAGCTTCGTCGACGCTACACAACCGGCGTGACACACAAAATGCATGGAGCAAACACAGACGGACACCTTTGGCAGCACAGTCCTCTCCCTCAGCACCCAACTCCCTCTTTTTTTTTCTCCTTCCATTCATCCTCCCTCCTACCTCACCTCCTCTCTCTCCTCTCTCCTCCCCCTGCCAGCCTTAATTCCTCTCCCCCCTCCATTGCTCCCACCACTCTGCCATCTTTCCCTCTGTTGCTTTCTCCCTCTGTCACTCCCTCGCTGTGTTGTAATAATAAACACCCCATCCAGCTGGGCTGATATATGACTGGAGTCAGTTTCATCGCCTGTTGCCGAGCGAAGCGGGGCAGGAGGGGGGGGAATCAGTGGGGAGTCTTGGAGGCAGCGACTCCCAGGTGATGCATCCTCCACTTGATACTGGTGGACCGAGGTGCGCTGGGAAATTTCATCTGTGCCAAGTCTTTGCATTTGAAATGATTCCCGCGCACGGAGGGATTTATTGTTACGAAGTGGGGTGAAAATACGCTCGCCTTTCAATCGCTGCGGCGCTAACAGATGCTATTTGAATAAGACAATCTGGCCTAAAAGGTGATCAATTAACAACATCAGTGAGAACACACAGCATCGTTGCCATGCTCGTGCAACATTCGTTCGCCGTGCTTGTGCGGTGAGATCATTCATTTTGCAAGGTGAAGGTTTTGATAAACGAGGTTCTTCTCCTGTCGGTTAAAATCATATTTCTTTCACCAGCTGCAAAGACTCCAGTTTCCTGCTCCGGTGTAAAAGGTGGTCGGGGAAAGGTTTCATCCTCCCACTGCTCAGAAACAGGTTGCAGAGAAATGGGCCATGACTATTAATCTCCCAGGGAGATATGTCCTTGTTTTGGTTTACACAAGCGCTCCTGGCCCAGGTGTGAACTCGTGCACTTGACCTTTATAGATGGAGAAGGTTGTTGCAGGTGGAACTATGGATTGAATACAAAAAAAAAAAAAAGAAGTGCCCGGGAGTAAACCCAGCTGCAAACTCTAGGTCACAGATGCAAACATTTGTCAGCACGCCAGAACCAGCGGATTCAGTCTGTCAACAATTAGGAGAAAATCATGAAATTCTTAAACCGTTTATTGCTTTGGAAAACCACACGGATAGGCCTCAGTAAACACGCCCCTTTACTGCTCTTATCCTATAAAATAAACACATCCATAATATTTAAGGAAGCTGTTTCCAGTAAAGAGTTAATAAGTGGGATGCTGGCTCAGTTTACCCCATGCTTGTCCTCGGTAAGATTCGCAAATCCCTCAGCAATGATAAATACAGCCCATAAAGGAGTACTCATAAAACAAAACAAAACAAAAAAAACCACCACGCAGGCACGGAATCAGAACTTGTCCCTCACCCCCGAATGCTGAAGCAATTATAACAGTCCTGATGGGCATGTTTTGAATCTACATTGTGTTTGTCTAATTAATTAGCATATAGCCTATGGATAACACCAATGAGCTGTTGTAGTAATTAATTCATCTAGATACACATCACCCCGAGCCAAGGTTACTGTACGTTCACGTGCCGAGTCGATCCCCACAGAGCAGCGCGTTGCTAAGGCAGGCCTGACGAAGTGTGACAGTGCCACCGTTCCCTTCCCATTACTTTGAATTGTGGTCCTACAAAAGCTGGAGCACTTCTTTGTTTTGTGCAGCCGTTGACAGCATAATAACATTTTCCTGGTAAACAAGGTAAAAAAAAAAAAAAAGAAAACCCATCTGGCTGTTTAAACATCAAATGTCTTTATGGTAATGTTTGAAATGTTGTGGCTTAGTGTGGCACTTTTATGGATATGTATTAGTTGTTTTTTTTTTTCCTTTACAAAAATGCTGGATATTGGTTTAGACAGGGCTAATGGCATGGAAGTGAGCTCTGGGCTGTTGTTTCTCCCGCACATGCCAACTTGACAGGAGATCGGAGACGTACGTATATCTGCGGCGGGGCTGGGAGTGTCTTCCTCTGTTCAAACGGCAGGAATGGGTTAGTGACAGGCGGCCAAGCCCGGCGGACAGAGGTCACTACCTTGGTGAAATCAACTGCGGAGATGGAAGGGTGGGGGGAGGAAGCGCATGTTTGTGATGTGTCAGAGTTTGTGTTAGGTAGATGACACAGAAACTGCTGACGTTTCGGGCTCAACAGAGTTCCCGTGTCACTCCGTGCAACCTCTGATTCAGTGGACGCACCTGACCTTCAGCTACTCACGTCTCTTATGATTAACTCGGCCTAATCTATAATTACAGTCTTCCCCCCCCTCACGTCTAATAACAATATATGTCCAGCTCGCCTCCGTATATTATCCTCCTGTAATTTCCCGATGAAACAGAAGGAATGAGAAATCGAGAAATGCACTGCTGCTGCTGCTGGTGGTTCTGTGTTTGTTGTAAAAGGTCACTTGTAATTTTCCCTGCCAAATCAGCCTCAACAATTTCTCTGGCAAGCTTTTCCAGCATTGCGCCGGCGTGTGTGTGACCTTTTTAGTGGGCAGATGATAACCGTTTCCGCCGAGACAGGAATAGAAAACAAAATGACCTGTTTAGAGACCAGAAAGGGCGGCGTAAGCAGTTTGCTGCCTTGGCAAAGCTACTGGCCTCTTTGTCAAGAGAAAAAGGAGAAAGTGAGGAAGTAGAGTATGAGACCGATAGATAGAAGCGGAGATAGAGAAGAAAAATGACCGTGCGTTGTGCACGCCGCTAGCAAACTGCGTGTTTAGTAATCTTCCTTGACCTCAGCCTCTGGTCATTGCAATGTGGCTTGTCTTGTGTGTGTGTGTGTTTGCATGCATCTCTGGTCTTCAGCCAGGGTAAAAGAGCATCCTGAGGCCTGCTGGGGAAGACAAGCCTACCCATGGCGGGATGATACTGACCTTTCACCCACATCTGATCCTCCGCCATGCTCTGCTGCAACCAAACTGGGCACAAAACAGGAAAAACTTGTCGAAATTCCAACGCACGCCGATCGTCACACTGCGATATAAACTGGCGCTTCTTGAGCACCAGACGACGACTCGAAAGAGAGAAACAAGACTGGATAAAAAAAAAAACTTTGTAGATTGTCCGTGTGCAGAATTAAAATTAAAATTTCTCCTGAAACGTACTAAATTAGGGAACAAGTTTCGCCCAAGGAGAAGCTCTTAGCATAAGACAAAGTTGAAGCTGCAAAAATAATGACTTTTGTATGATCTACTATTTAAAAACTGTTGTGGTTTAGTAAAAATTTCTCACGTTCTCTCGCTCAGGGCTGTGTGCTCACCCATTTTTTTCTTTCCCTCTGCCCATTTTTTTTTTTTTTCTCTTCACAGCAAGAACACAGACTTTAGAAATCAGGGCAGGGGAAAGCACTGCAATAAATGGGTTGAGGATCTGTCTTGAGGGTTGTTAAAACTCTTCTTTAACACCAGTACAATCGAAGGATAAAAGATGGCAGGGGGAAGCCAACCACATTCACCCATACTGTGAAACATGTTTCTGTGAAAAATGTCTGCTTTTTTTTTCCATCTCCCTTCATGGCGGTTTCTCCAGATATACTCCCAGATGGGCTGCTTTGACAGCCCTCAGTAGGACACCAGAGTGGCATCCGCGGGATATTAGTTTAGGTCAGAGTTAGACGGACACATTCCTCGGCTGGGGAACACAGCTTTCTGGGGCTATATTCACTATATTCCTCCACATACACACTGTTTTTTTTTTTTTTTCCCTTCAGATTGTCATTGTTTCGACATCTGAACACATTTTCCCCCTTCAGATCTTTACATCCAACTGGGAACCGACACTTCCTAGGTTTTATTTCGAGCCCATTGTTTCGTTTGACACGGGCGCACCGCATTGTTTTGACCCTCTCTTGACCTTTCCCCTTCTTCTTGACCCCCAGATGGACACCCTGGAGGCTCTGGGAGAGGAGATCAGCGGGATGGCACGCTGTCCGTACGACGCCAAGCACGCCAACGTCGCCCTCTTCGCTGGTAAGATTAAACAAATCTCCGAACGGGGGGAACCGGCGATTATCTTTATTGCGTTTATCATCGCTGCCGTTTTCGCTTCGGCCCCCTTGTCCTGTGGTTTTACATTAGGGGGAAGTTTCCATGAGGTGAAAGTGGATTATGTTTGTGTGATAGTTCTCCTGTTCGCTGACTGCCATGAGGCAAACACATTACTCTCAATTTTCTCCTATCTGCAGCTATTAAACACTGGAACATGCCTGAGCTAGATGGGAAAGTTGAGTGTATTTGGGTAAGGGATTAGTTGCGGTTGTATTTAATATTGTTCTTAATACCCTGCGGTTTATTCTAATGGCAGTGCTCTGACAACATGTCAGAACGAGAGCCAATCTATGCTACATGCGCTGGAGCAAATCATCAAAACTTGGGGCTACATTTGCTCTGTGTCAGGAATTTTGCTTCTTATAATAGAGCCCTTTGGAAACACATGAATAGAATTATGGTTAAAATATATAAAAAAGAAGAGAGTCGTCTGTCTCTGGCTTTTATTGTACTTTTCTATCATCCTCTTTGTCTCTCATTCACTTTCCTTCAAAATGCACAAGATTAAAAATAAGTCACAAATGGATGGGACAGGAATGAGTCACTTTTCCGTTGGCCGGGGCGCGATTCTTCTGATGCAACGGGGCCCACGGGCTGCTAAACTAATCCAGTCCCCCCATTCACATTTGCTGTGAACCGATTTATGGCGGTATTGATGAGCTGTCCCCGCCGGTTCAAAGCAGAAGACGAGAGTAAATGCCTAGCTTGACCAGTTAATGTGTAGCAGAGCTGCTTGGAAGGAGCTGGAAGCACTGAGTAATCAAGAGGGTTCCTCTGACTGCTATCCTTTCAATTATGTAGTTTGAGTTTCCACTGTGGTTCTAGCCACGGCAGGCTGAGGTCATTCTGGTGGTGAATTGTGTTTATGGTGCATGTGTGTGTGTGTGTGTGTGTGTGCCTGCGAGTGTGCGACTGTGGGTTTTCTGTGACGCTCTAAGGCTGTGTGTGTGTGTGTGCAGGGCTTCGGTGTTTGCGCTTTTGAAGAGTGTTTGCAAGATTGGGCAATTACAAATGTGCAGCATGTTTAAGTGTGTGTACAGCCTGTTTGTTGTCCATCAAAGAGTCCCTTCGGTTTGTGTGATTCATTCATTTTCCAGGTCTGAGCCATCTGAAACATGTTTGTGCGCCCGGCCACACAGAGCAGGAATCTCCGAGCGGCTTTACGGTGGCTTTATGTGTTTCTCTCTTGATTTAACTTGACTCCCTTCACCTTTTTTTTTTTCCTCCTCCTCCTCCTTTATGCCTCTTCATTCTTCTTCCTTCCTTTGTCTCCATCTTTCCTCCTTATTGCTCTCTCCGTCTCTGTGTTCCCTTCTCCAGATGGCAAGCTGTACTCGGCCACCGTAACAGACTTTCTAGCGATCGATGCGGTCATCTATCGTAGCCTTGGAGACAGCCCGACTCTGCGCACTGTCAAACACGACTCCAAATGGCTGAAAGGTGAGTGGGGGACACACAAACAAAAGTCCCTGCGGTTGGAAAGCACCACGCTGTCTTGACAAGTTCGAAAACAAAACCAGACTTTGGACATGCACGCTTGACCACATGTTTGTGTTTTTTTTCTGTGATTTATGATTTCTGCGCCCAACATGTCTCCGTGCCACCGCCGTGTATGAATGAAGGTATGAGGAGCAGGAGCACTTATGCTAATGCTACACGCTCTGTTTAATGCAATCATTTTGCCAACCTGCCCTGGTGAAGTAGAAATTGCTCTGCCCCGGGGAGAAACAAGCACAAGTCCGGTCTGTCAAAACTCAATAGAGTGATCCGTCTTTTTTCCTGCATGCAAATTGTTTCGCTGATATGATGGATGATAGATGGAGGCTCTCAAGGCTCACAGTCGGTGCTTTTCTGCATAATATGACAGATATTCCGGCTGTTTACTGTGAAATATAGTGTCAGAACTGTTTTGTCACGGCAAGACGTCACTTTGACTCATATTTTCTTTCCTCCCGCAGAGCCCTATTTCGTCCAGGCTGTCGATTATGGGGACTTCATCTACTTCTTCTTTCGGGAAATTGCCATGGAGTACAACACAATGGGAAAGGTAAAGCACGGGCGAGCCTCTTCTGCTATTGTTTGAACTCTAATCAGAGGTGACTTCCTATTTACCGGGAGAATCGGGAAGTGCCTGAGGAAACTAACAGGATATGGGTGTATCACATAACTGGAAGGAGGCTTTCAGGAGCTGTAAAGTGCCCAAAACATTTTTCAGCAACAGCCAAAATACCGGGCAGGATGCAGGACCCAAAATAGATCCCCATTTTGAAGTCTAAATATATCACTTGAATTGCACGTCCGCTTGCGTCCCGCGGCGCACCCGTTTGACCTATCGTCTCCATGTTTCCCAGGAGGAGTTCCACCCAAGTGTCTCTGAGAAATGAGACGAAAGGTTGAAGAAGAAACAGGCTTTCCTCAGGTGCTACACCAGAGGGACGGAGAATTTTTCCTATTAATCTCCGCCATTCAGTTTTGGACCCTGCCCTGAGAAAGTTTAATTGGACACCAGGTAGAAGATAATGGAAATGAATTGCTCGGCGTGCGTTTTGCGGGATAAACGAAGGGGAAAGTCGCGGGAGAGGGAAGACGAATACAGATCAGGCCTCTCGATCTGTTTTGAAAAGCGGCGTCGGTGTAATTATGCATGTGGTGGTTTGAACTGATGGCGCAGAGAGCAATTTAGCATTCAGCGGATGATATCTCTTTATTATTACACAGTACAATGGCCCTCGCTGACAATGTAAACAGTTGTCTGTGCTTTATGGCAAGCTGATAAATCCACTGTGGCGGGTTTGTGTTTGCTTTAGTTTTAATATTGGGTTGTTATCTGGAAAACACAAAAGGATAAATATTTCATTACTCAAGTGAATTAACAAGCCTCCGGTAAGGTATTTGCTCGGTGTAATTGATCTACATATGGGCGTTTGCGTGTCCCCGTATATCCAGTTGTGACGCACTGATAAGCCCGTCTGGAAATGTGAAATAATTCCACTTGACAGTCTCACCTGATCTACTTCATACATTTCCTGTAATCTCGCCGCTCTCCAACCTCAGTGAACGTGTAGGTTTTTAGTGTAAATGTGTGTTTTTCTGAGCTGGAATTGCTGCATTTTCTGAGTTCATATTTGTATGTGGGTCAATGGGGGAAGTGGAGGATTGAGTTGAGTGTGTGTGTGTGTGTGTGGTTGTCTGTGGGTGTGTGTTTAGGGATCTGGTTTAAATGCATGTTTGCTCCCATTCACACTGTCAATTTCAGGTCAGGGTTAGATTTATAGCTGTTAAGTATAGTGTAACAGCAGCTAATTACAATACGGGCCACGTTATCCGACGGCAGAGTTGTAATTACGGCGCTGGCTCCTATTTGAAGCCGCTCGGTTTAAACTCTGCGTTGCCAGGTGCTGACTCTTAAACAGCGTATCAAACACACTAATTTACTCCTCTATCTTTAATTCGCCATAAAGTGATGAAACACTGGATTAAGACACTGTGATGATGTCTCCCGAGGATTTCTGTCAGTCAAGCAGGGCCTGTAGTGAGAAAAGCTTCTTATCCTGCAAAAAGTTTATTCATGACTTTGGAAAGAGCGGTTGACAAAACAACGTCACCATCAGGTCCTCCTTCTTATTTAAATGAAGTTTGCCCATTTTCCCTTGATATGTAGTTTGTTTTTTTCTCATCCATGCTTGCTTGAAAATATAACATCATTAAATGATCAAATGCTCAAAAACAGCTAATTAATGTACGAGCTGTGCCGCCTAAATTTCCTCCACTAATAACAATTTGAAGACAAAAGACAGAGATCAGTACAAAGGAAACGATGGTCCTTTGTTGGCTGCTTTGACACATTTGCATCTTTGTTAAATAGTCACGTTGTTTAGCATAATCCCCCTAACAACAACAACAACAACAACAACAACAACAACAACAACAACAATAAAGAATATATGAGGTGATAAACAGTGGTTCAAAAATCACAAACACTGCGATGAGGACTGGTGTGGCTCCATCATCATCCTGCTATCGGGGGGGGAAAACACCCTGGCTTGTTTTTTCTAAACCAATCACAAATGTCTTGGGAAGTACTAAGCACAGGATGTTGTTGACTGTACATAAAAGCAAATCAACCCTTTGTGACGTCAGCCGTAGTTTTAAAGCTGTAATCTCGACAACGTCTGACTCCGCCCGACTCTCTCCAAAATCAGTGTCAATCATCAAAACGTGCTATTTTTAGCTCGCTCTGTGTTTGTTGTTGTTGATTCTTGAAGGGGATTTTGGAAACGGTAAAACACAGATGGTGAAAGGGCAGCAAAATGCCGCGTGAAATGCACTGCTGGTGGCGGCTTAGACTTCCACTTTACATCACAAGTCCCCGACTTCTTAATCAGTTTGATTAAATCAACATCTGGCCTTAAAGGGCAATCCCGTCCATTTTACGCACCTGTTGGTTGTTTTTTTGGGGGGATTCTATGGATGTGAGTGTGAAAAAGTAGTAGTGTGGCTCCAGAGGGGAAATATGAGAAATCGCCTCAAGTGTTGGGCTGTGTTCCAGATCACATACTTCTTACTTGCAGTACAGCCGCTCTCCTCACAGAGTGTTGCATGTAGTATGTATACAGCTGGGACTTTGTCATAGTGCTGCACCTGAAATTTTAATTATCCTGCTTATGTAACCGTAGCTTCAACCGTCTTCTGTATGTGATGCATATGCCGCTGTGCAGGATTGTGGGTCAGGAAAAGTATGCTGACTTGCAAACTGCAAAATGCAACCGGGTATTTTTGGCATTTGGCATCCTATTATTGGGACGTCTTTTTCAGGCGTACTATATATATATAAAGTGGAAGTATGCGAATTGGATCGCACCCTTTTTCTATCTCTGGCTCTGCAGCATCAATCAGAATCCCCCCCCCGTTTTTTTTTTTTTTTAACTGCCAAGTCTGGAGTGTGATGCCAAATGATGGGCCGACAGAGTGACTGGTGAACCTCAAGATGCTCAGACGTAACCTTACAACTGTGTCCGACCTGCTCAGGTGGTGTTTCCTCGGGTGGCGAGGGTCTGCAAGAACGACCGAGGAGGCTCGCCCCGTGTCCTGGAAAAGCAGTGGACCTCGTTCCTCAAGTCTCGGCTGAACTGCTCCATCCCCGGCGACTCCCACTTCTACTTCAACATCCTGCAGGCAGTGACGGACGTCATTCACATCAATGGGAGGGATGTCGTCATGGCGACTTTCTCCACTCCGTACAACAGGTAAAGAAGGGAAAACTAAACCATCATTTTAAGTATTTAAACATCAACGCTGACCCGTTGGGGTTGAGGCCGTTTTTATTCAGCTTTTCCTCTCATCTCAAATAAGTTCACGTGTGTCAACAGCCCCTTTGCACTTTCCATTTATTATCCTGATTATCCTTCTCGGTTTGAGGTATTTTTTAAAAACGCCCTCAATTCATCAACATTATGACAGAGTGACCTTTGTTAACACTGGAAGCGTGTGCCTCTTGGCGACGTGTAATTTCTGATCCTACCGGGTCAACATTTACATCTTCTGTCAAAACACTTTTGTTGCCCTTTTGACATGCAGGTGTTTAATCCTATTTTTTTTTCTTCCCTTTTTTACAATTCATATTGGGAACTGCTTTCATATTCACAGGCAGTGGGAGTTTTTATCTAAATTGAAAATTACCACAAAGCCATAGAGCTCGGCTGATAGCTCACACATATTGTAATTTTCCATTTTATGGCTGCTTTTTAGCAGATAAGACAATTGCTTGTGACAACGCAATTGAGCATGGTTAATGGACATTAAAACCCAATGAAGCAGCGCCTCTGAAATTTTCTATAAGCGCTGGTTTTGATCCTTGCATTAATTTTCCATTTCATAGTCAGGGGGTGAAATTAGAGGGAGCGCATTAGACTTTGGGCAGCACTCGGGGTTTGTGTTGTCTAATTGTCTGTCTGGATGTCTGGCTGGGTCGCCGCATGGCCGCCAACTTGTTCACCTTGTTATCAGCCCGATACAAACAGACATGTGACTGTCTAACTTTCTCTACATATCCAATACAGAGGGCAATTACTGTAATTTAGTCTCTAAGCCAAGAATTAACAACTCTCTGACCTTGCTCTCTATAATACTGCCCTTGTGTACGCCGTCTCCCCAATGGCTACATGATGGGCTTAACCCATGATGCAACAGCGAGAAAATCCAGCCAGCTGAGGGAAAGGAAAAAGATTTCTCTCTTTGTAAACAGCCCCCTTAATTTTTATTTCGGAAAGCAGCCGCATAAAAAACCGAAAAGTGACTCAGTAATCTGCTATGCATTGATTCCACACAGACATTAGCGGCTTCACGGCTGTCACAAGACGGGTGTTTTTCCCCTTAAAATGAAAAGCAATAATACCATAATCGGTTGTCTATATTTTGAGCCTCACAGTGGACTTGTGATGGATTTTGATGCCTCCAGGCTTTTTGGGGAAACCCAGTCTGGAAGAGGAGGAGGCTGAGGAAATGTCAGATGTTGTAGCCTCATATGTTAATATCCAACAGATACAACGCTGAGGGAATATTAGGTATAACTGCTTCTGGATCAGTTTAAGTTTTGTGTTTTTTACCCTCAAATGTGTCTGTTTGTGTAAATAAGAAAAAACCAGAGAATAAAGAACTGGGTACCTTTTATTTTACCAACATGCTGAAACCTTGACAGTATTCAAAACTTGACTGCATCCCTCAGTGTAAACATGCAACAGCTAAAATAAGCCGTCCTCAAGGGATTTAACCCTTCTGAAAAGCGGATTGTAAATCCATTTTTCCTGTCTTTTGGTGATAGTCCAGAATTGGCAAGGTTCTTCTTTGATATGTTCAGTCAAGAGGATTGTTTATTTAGTTTTTTTTCTCTTTTTTTTTTTGCTGGTGGGTGTGTGCTGTGGCAGTATTCCAGGTTCGGCGGTGTGTGCCTATGACATGGCGGAGGTGGCCAACACGTTCACGGGGCGTTTCAAAGAGCAGAAATCCCCAGACTCCACCTGGACGCCTTTTCCCGAAGAGAAGGTTCCGAAGCCGAGGTACGACAGCAGTTAATTAACCGGTGCACGCATACGCTCAGATACACACCGGCACTCGTGGGATTTAACACAGTCGCACATATATATATATATATAGAGACAGAGTTGCTCGTTCTTTCTTCTCACTCGCGGCTCTTTCACACATGCAGACATAAAAGATGCACCCTAATCAATGCACAAGTCTTGCTGAATCATAATGTGTTAATGCACCATATTTTAACTCGCATTGCATGTATATATATATATTTTTTTTTTATTATGTTCTGACCTTGTTATAGAATTACACATCCCGTGTCACATTGCGTCACGCCCACACACTGTAACGCACAGCAGCGCTAGATGCCACCCTTTTATATCAGAGCTGCACCCCATTACCTCACCTCTCCCCCACATGCAGCTGCATCAACAAATGAAGCATGAGATCATTTTACAGATGGCTGGCTAATTCCACAAATGTACCAACCTGATCAATCTCCCATCTATTGTTCGCTAATTAGCGCGCTAAGAGCTGCTCTCCTATCCCCCCAGAAAAAGGCTGATTTACTTCAAAGATGTGGGCTATGATAATTGTTGATACCCAGTGTTTTCTTTCCTCTTTTTTTTTTTAAATTCCCATATGTCTGAGGAGGCGGCTCCTTACAAATATTGTGCATACATCTCCATGCATTGTGTGAATGAGTGTATATATATATATGTATATGTGTGAGTTTTACCCACTTACCTCAATTAGCATGTAATTGCTTGTTTATGTTCAACAAGGTCAGGCGCGGCAGTGATCAGATATCCTCGCCGTTGTTTCTGCAGTAATTGATGTGATGGATTTCATTTCCATCCTCTGGTGTGTTCAGACCTTTTATCTGCAGGCAAACAGACGGAGAGTTGTAACAATGCCACTTAGGTCTGGCCCCGTAGCAGACTGTTCCTCCATGTGGTAGACGCTCGTACTGAATCATTTACAGATTTTCTTATTTAAGAGATGTCTGTTTCCGTTCAGCTCTCCATATGCGCGCGGACATAAATGTAGCTTTCTTTTTTTTTTTTCTTTACAGTGAATAATGGCTTTGCTTACACTTAATTTAACAGTATCAGTTCACTTAAAGTGAGCAGCTGCTGGTTTGACTTCATGTGTAAGCTGTTTTCCATACCTCATTTAAGGCCCTTAAAAATTCAGACCTTGAATAGTTAAAAGAAAAAAAAAATCATCCCCAAATTGTTTTCACTCCACATTTCACAGGATCTAGAAATTCAGTCCTGTCTTTGCGTAATGATGTGATACAGATGTGTTTAGGGATGCACAGAATCTCCATTATTGCTTCCACATCTCCACCTTCCAGAGAATTACATAAAAGAAGATTTTACGTTCCTCTCGAGTGCACACAAATGTATATTGTATAGGGTCCGGTCCTTACGCGTTGACAGTGTCGGACATTCGGTGTCCAGCTGGCTAGTATTTCTAGGACCTGGTGTGGATTATGTGCTGTGGCTGGGTATCAAAGACCACGCAGTAAAGGGGTTTTACAAGCTCTCCGAGGTGAGATGCCTGTAAAGGGGATATGCTATCAAAAGCTGCTTCCCTTTTTACAAGAAGCTCACCAACTCCCTGTAAAAGGATCAGATAGATAGAAAGTTTCAGTGCTTTGCCGCAAACCCAGTGAAAAGAAGACATCTTGTGTCCTCCAATACGGCCGAAGCCTCTTTTTTTTTTTTTAGCTATTTAGAGTCGCACTCTCATTGATTTTAGGGAAGTTGAACTTTCTGTCTTCTATTGGAGCTTTCACCATGAAAAATAGCTCGTTCTCCCTACAGTAAATGTGGTGGTTTTTCATTTGGGCTTTTTTCTCTTTCTTCTAACCATTTCTTTTCCCCCCTCTGCCATCCTCCCTTCCTCCTCATCACCTCCCTCCCTCCTCTACTCTCCATTTTGCAGGCCTGGGAACTGTGCCGGCACTCCATCCATGGAGAGGTACAAGGTATCCAATGAGTTCCCCGACGACACACTCAACTTCATCAAGATGCATCCTCTGATGGATGAGGCCGTGCCCTCCATCGCTAACAGGCCCTGGTTTCTCAAGACCATGGTTCGGTGAGTATTGCGCTCTCCAAAGGCCGCCGTCATCGTCGTCTATGAGCCTCTTCAGCCCGGTACGATAATTACATGAAGTGCTGCTCGGAGAGTCAGGCTCATTAAAAGACAGTAGTACTCCATCGCAAACCAGCCGCTGACCTATTTTTCTCATAGTAAAGGAAACACCAATCTACGCTATACTATCCTTCTCCCCGATTGACTGAGCTGTGATGCGAGGGAGACGGAGTAAACAGTTTGATGTACATCCTGACGCTGTTAGCGACACGCAAACACGCGTGAGCGCTTATTAAAAAGACGAGTTCTTCTCTTTGCATGTTCAAATCCTCTGGGGGTATTTCAAAGAGAGGATACTGGAGCAAAAAGTACTTTTTTTTGTGTTCTGTGGTTGGCTCTCCTCTCTTGAGTTTCTGCAGTTGAGCCCATTTCCCAAAAGCCAGTGCACTGTGGCTGATGCCGTTTGATCATAAAGGTCTGTCTGGCTTCTACTTACACTGCACACACACACAGACATTTCAGCCAGCCTCCGGGGGGAATGCGACAGCACACCGCCATCCCGTCGGCACTGCAAAATGAGCTGACGGTGCATTTGGTTAAAAAAAAAAAGTAGAAAATCTCGTTTTTTTAAAAAATTCTGGACGTGGTTCCGAATTGCAGCTGCTCAAGATTTAAGGTTAGGAGAGCTTTGCCAGGCCCCTGACAGGCCTCAGCGGTGCTAACATCACTTTAAAGATCAGCTACATAAAGAATTCTTCATAGGTTTTACAAGGTTTTTTTCTCTTTGCATCATATCACATCTATCTGCTACTTTGCTGAGGTCTGACCTACATACTGTGCCGGCTTAGAACATGAACAGCTTTCATCAAGGTTACCCCTGCGAGTCTCTCCGTTGGTTCGTTAGCGTGCCATCACATATGACTACATTATGAATGACACCGTGTTTCTGTCTTTACATAATCAGCAATCCGACTGTTTAATTTGATTTGAAATGTCAGCACAATGAGCTTTGCATGCGAGTCAAAGGCAGGAGTTAAAAGTGTTATGTAAGCTCAAAAAGCATCATGAAGGCACATGGGGGGGATGAAGAGTGAGGCCCTTAATGATGTCTGTCACAGCTTCGATGTGGAGCTGAAGTCGTTTGGAAATGAAATCAGTAATAGGGTTTGATCCTTGTTACACCTCCGAGAGGACACCCCAATATCCAGCAAGAGCTTCTTTTTTTTTTTATTCCAATTTTAAAAAGCTTTTCTGTCTTGAGACTTGCTGTGCTGTGTGACGGGGACCTCAGCTGGCTGGGCACAATGAATCACTCAGAGGGGGGAAGACACTCTGAAGAAATCCCCTCTTGCGATTTTTATTATCTTGAATAGGAAAGGCGGTGAATGTGCGATTCTTTGAGATTGTATTATTTCGCCGAGATCAAATCCCATTGACACAGTCCTTGGAGCTCCCGTTATGATTGAAGAGATCAAAACCGCGTCAGACCTTCAGATTGTCGGTAATATTGATTGGATAAAGCCGGTGACACGGTGCGTTTTAAGAGATATTTTAGGAAAACAGAAGCGGTGAATAGGATAAGAGGATGTGACCTTGCTTCTGAATGGGCTCATGGTATAAAACTGTCATCGCCTGCACAGGAATTCTCTTTGGGTGTAGTAATAGCTGTTTTAGCGGTCGTGTAGCTTCTCGACCACCTTCGCACAGAAAACATTCAGTAAACATTAATGAGGGTGAAAGTGGACTTCCTGGATTTCCGGATAAGCTCTCATCTTTAATCTTTAAATCCCATCTCCTTCAATTAAAAAATAATGAAAACAAGCATTTGCATAATAAACACTGATGCACAGATACCTTTTTTTTTTGCTCTGTTTATGAACTAATAGAGAGATGGATACCAGCAGCTGCACTGCCGTGAAGTCAGATGAACAATAAATAGCTTCAAAAAAAGAAAAAAAAACAACAACAACCTGTTTTTGTTATTTGATCTGTCTGCATTTTTTATTCTAACACCCGCAAGCACAATAGGGCATCGCTCCAAAACTCACTGACTGGCAGGTGTCTAATTTGCTAACCTGAATCTGTTTGGTATCGTTGGAGTTTCATGCACGTCCAGCTGGTGCTCAGCCAAAATGTGAGATCAGCAGCTGTCAATTAGAAACCAGGGAGACGCGTGCTGTCTGCTGCCTGGAAAAGTTTTTTTTTTTTGATAATGTTTTTCTTTTAGGAACCACCTGACGTGCCCTATGGCAATCCCACTCTAATGAAATAACAATCAATTATTGAGATTAACAAAAGCCTCCTGCTGTTAGTCTCCTTTAGACGACTGACGTGCATGATGGAAGGCTCATTAATTAACTGATTGATTGATTGATTATATAACTATTATCTTGGGTATTACTATTAACAGGTTTATTTATTTTAATCTTCTCTGTCGTGTGTTTTTATTAGTGCAAATGTTCTCAGTTTTTGCATGTACAGTATTGGGATACAGTTCAAAATATTTGCATTGAACCCCTGCTGGTGATGTTCGCCGCCATCTGTTGCTCCTCCGACAGGCAAACCTGCTCCTCCGCCGGTGGCCAAACTGACTAATTAATTGACTGGTTGATTTATTTCACTCGGTCTTTTCTTTATTCCAGATACCGTCTGACGCGCATCGTGGTGGACAGCGAGGCGGGTCCCAACAAGAACCACACGGTGGTGTTCCTGGGCTCTGAGAAAGGCATCATCCTCAAGTTCTTGGCCAAGATGAACAACGGTTTCCTCAACGACAGCCTGTTTCTGGAGGAGCTCAACGTCTACAACCCCGACAAGTACGTAGCTCTGGACGTGCGAGAGAGACGGACAGAAAAATAGAAACACATGGATACAGTTGCTACAAACGGAGAACAGCTTATTGCGTATGTGTGTGCGCTATAGAGGGAGAATGTGTTTAATTTTGCATGTTTCCACCATCCACCGGCTCCGCCAACCCACCAACCCACCAGCTCCATCACGACCAGTCAGCTCCCCTGACCCAAGCTGCACAGCAACGCCAGCCAACCAGATGGCTACTCTATCATTTAAAAGAGTTTTATCAGGTTACATTCTGCCCAACCACAGCTCCTAAATTAAAGACATAGACCCTAAGGCTCTGGATAACGTAGCGCTGCGGTTCCCGACCACAGCAGAGCCCAGCTCCTCCAAAACGCCGGCTGATTAAAGGAAACGCACGCACACACTCACGCCGAGGTCTGTGTTTGTCTTCAGAGCCAGCCTGGGATCTCTCACTAATACATTACACGTCTGTTGGTGCTCGTATGGTTGTGTGCGCATGAACTCGGTACACAAGGGCCGAGCAGAGAATTGTTGTGTATTTGGAGAATAAGAAGAAAAAAGTATGACCCAGCCAAAGCAAATATTTAGTTGCGCGGTAATGGATGAGAGGGAATGAATGGCAGCACAAATACAGACGGGAGAGAGAAGAGTGGTGAAGAAGCAGAGTAGAGAATGCATTACTGTGTTAGACAGCTGAGGAGGAGAAGAAGAAGAAGAGTGAGGACTTGATGTGAGGGCCTTCAAGGTTACCGCTGTTTGTTATCCAACATGCTGCAACCATCTGATGAGCCGCATGTAGGGGACGGAGGGCAGACCCTCGCTACTCCGCCGCTTTATTTCCCTCCTCTGCTCCGCTCTGTCTCTGTGGCTGAGCTCGAGCATCCGTCGGCTGCTGGCCATCTGGCTTTATTCGTGTACAGTAAGTGACTTTGCCCGCTCGCCTCCCTGCCTGGCTGGCTGGCTGGCTGGCTGGCTGGCCGGATCAGCGTAGGCCCGCTTGTCGTGCATTACCCAGTGTAGATGGACTCTAAGCCCTAATTGAGAGCGTTAATGCAGGACCAGAGCTCTGCGAAGGGGGAGATTAAATCCCAGGAGCTGGATGGCGGGATGGAGAGAGGAACGGAGGGAGAGAAGGGATAGAAAGATGCTTGACACGCCCAAAGGGATTAGAGTGTGCTCTTGTGGGCCGGCGGAGACAAAGAAGACTAGCGGGGATGGAGGAATTGTGACGGAGGAGGGGTGTGGGTTAGTGGATTTTACAGTTAAGTGCAGCGTTATTGCTGACTGCTCACAGTGCCCATCTGTCTGTTTATCTGTTGTATCTGTATCACCCCTTTCTTTATCTCTCTTTATCTCCCACTCCGTTCCTGACCTCTTGTTCTCAAGTCCAGTATTATCTCTGCTCCCTCCCGACCTCACAGTTTGTCTCTCGGCCGCATCTTAATCTCCCTATTTTTGTTTTCTTCCTTAAATGAACTGTTGCACCTCGTTTTGCGGCTCCAACATTTCTCCAGATTTTGTAGTTAAAGAATAGACATAACATTTCCTCCTCTGCTCTGCCTCCTGTAGGTGCAGCATAGATGGCGTGGAGGACAAACGCATCATCGGTATGCAGATAGACAGCAAGAGTCACGCTCTGTGGGTCGCCTTCACTTCCTGTGTGGTCAAAGTGCCGCTGTCGCGCTGCGAAAGGCACGGACGATGCAAGAAGTAAGTTCGACGCTGGCCTTTTAAATGATCCTAAAAAAGAGTCAAACAACTTCAAACCGAGAGGAAAAACAGTGTTCCGGTGTACAACATGTTGTGGGGCTTATGGTGTGTGTAATTGTTCTGCAGATCCTGTATAGCCTCCAGAGACCCGTACTGTGGTTGGGTATCAGAGGGGGCCTGCAGACAGGTGGTCGGCAACACCAAGTAAGTAAACACAAGCACGAGAGAGTTGGACGGGAATAGTTTGGCCGTGCAATGGGTGTAAAATTATCATGCTTTTGTCATAAAAACTCATTAAACCATAAGTCAGCTGCTGTGAAACGAAACATTTAATCATATAGCCTGAAATACTGTTGTGCTTTGTAGAACCTGGCTTTTTTTTCCAGTTTATATCAGTTTACTTTTGGGTCTGCAGATTGATTTTGGGGATAAATTCAGGTTCCTATTTGCTGGAGCTCTGGCTTGTGCCTCTAACTGCCTATTTCTCTCGACACTAACAGCGGCTGAGGCGCTCGGCTTTCGTAATGTTTAGGTCCTCGTGATGGGAAAAACAGGATATCTGAGTTTGCATTATTTAAAAGCCAATACCCACCACATTATCCTGCACCTATAGCCAAGCAAAGCGCGTGTTGCATTTATGTTTTTAACGACTAAAACAGCATCCCGCCCTTTATCGTGATACCTGTTGTCGCCCGACTTTGTCATATCTGTGATCTTCCTAATTTTACGGTGTGTTAGTGCAATTTTCTTTAGCTCAAGGGGCTATTGGAAGAATGAATGGAAGGAAAGTGTTGTTTGCCCCAGGCTCGGGGTTGGGTACGCCGCGCTTGGGAAAGCATGATGGTTTGCAGTAACTATAATTTGTGGCTGTAGTTATGACACAGAAACAGATTATGCTTTCTGAACAAACAGCATGTGGAGTTTTGTGGTGGGAAAAAACATTTTACAGATGAAGTCATAACAAAAGGACCAGCGCTCCGCTGGCTATTTGACGGTGAATGAATTTGATCCCGCCGTTGCAGAATGATTGGTCTGACATGCCAGTGCACCGAAGGCACACGTAGCCACATGTGCGCACAAAAAACTAGCGAGAAGAGCAAAAAAAACACACACTCGCTGCCCATTCTATTATTATTCTGCAAAGCCGAAGCGGTGGGGCTGCTCTGATTGAGTTTCCACTTTGGAGCAGGAGCCGACACAGAGGCATTAAGGGGGCAGATGACCTCGCTTCTTTACTGTACAATATTTCTAAGTGAGAGAGAGAGAGAGAGAGGGAGAGGGATTAGGTCTGGTAGGATCTGCTGGTCTGTGGTGAGCTGTTCAAAAACATTTGCCCGGCTGGACAGGAGGAGAGATGAAATTAGGGAGGGGAAAATATTTAGTTGTTTGCTCGTATAAACAGGTCTCCGCAGAGGAGACGCTTTTCCTTTCCAGACATCAGCCTCCCGTTCTGTTTCTTGTTGATAGCACCATCGCTGCGTCTTCCTACCTGTCCATCCCTGTCTGTGTGTCTATTTATATCCGTCTTTCTTTTTTCTATCGTTTCCTCTGACATATTCTTTCTCTCTTGCAAGCCTCCCGTCCTTTCTTCTTCCATCTGGCCCTGATGCTAGCGTGCCAGCTTTCCCATGTGGAGTTATGCCTCTTATACCTAGTGCCTATAAACAGCTTGCACTCTGGTCTCCTGCAATATGGTCCCCAGTCACCCCATGTTCATGCATATAATTGCATACGATTCCGAGCGGCTGATATTTTGTAAACTGGATCTCTGACAATCATCGTATTAGTCGGTGCTGGTTAATAATGTCGGCCATTGTCTCAAACCCTGACTTCTCTCGGGAGGATAAAATGTGCCCTGTGTGTTGGCTGGTTGCCTGGTGAGCTGCCTGTTCCTTTTTAAAACAAAGCCATGAATCAAAATGAATGGGCGACTTTGAGAAAAAAAAGCATTGTGCACGCCTGCTTCACACTGTAGGTACAGTATGCTCGGTCCCTGGTTGCCCATTCACTACTGTTATGAATAATTAATGCTATTATGCCTGACCTGCATTTCAGCAACCAAGTACCCCCTGTGCAACCACACATCTCACATAATAATCACATCTGATGCAAGATGATACAAAATGAGGGCCTCGGATGCCTCCAGTGCAGCTTGGATCTGATTTAAATATGCATTATAGGGGTTGCAGTGGGACCTTAACCCTGAGCTAAACTGTCTGTAGTGTCACATTCGAGCAGACTGCTCTTCTGTTGCTATAATACAGCCGCTGCGGGACCTGAACCCTTTAAGCGAGGGGTTCACGCTGTGGTTCAATCACTTTCATGTGTGCCAAGAAAGGCCCAGACACTGCATCTGTAGTGTGACCACTCATTGTTAATTAATCTCAACACCAGTGGGATTTAAACCTTGTAATCTTTGTGTCAAAACAGTCTCACCGCAGCCGGTAATGTTATTATCAGCCTATATAGGAAGCCATGACCACAGGGTTGCCTGTGTTTTGGTCTCCTGTCAAAGACGCCGAACGGCCTTTCATTGCCGAGTGGGAGGAGGTGACGACGTCTGCGAGGAAAATCCGGCAGATACCAGGAGTGCTTCGGCTGCCGTTTGTGCTTAGACAGGTTCAATTGTGCAACTCTGCGTCTGCTTTTGTGATTACGGCTGCGTACGATAAGCAAATCAGATTAAGCCGATTAACTGTACCCCCCAGATATGAAACGAGGATGCTGCTCTTGTTGTTGTTGTTGTTGTGTGGCTGTCGTGCTTTATTTTTTGAAGGGGGGAAATGGTTATCGAGAGGGTGAAATTCGCCATCTCCGTTCCAATTAAGGCTCCGCAGAACTGGAGGGGGGGCGGGAAGGTGACTAATAAATTAATGCATGAATGTCTCGGCGTATAAATACAGTAGCGACTTTGACTTCAGATCTGAGCGCCGAACAACAGAAATCCGATAGCGTTCCTCCTCCCTAAAATCTCCTGCTCTTGTCAGGTTCACATTTTCAAATCCGATCAGGGCACAAGGGGTGGGTGATGCTGTTTTGGAAAATCACTCTTCTTCATGCCATAATTGTGACCAGTGGAGGGTGAGGAGGATGAGAGGCGGGCGGGCGGGCGGACAGGCAGGAGGGGGGAGGACTGTAGAGGAGGACTGTGAAAAGCTGTCATGCGTGACTGTGATCCCGGTTGACAGTTGGTCCGCTCTGTTTCACAGATCTCCTTACTGCCTGCTTGGTGGTCTTTCAGGGAGAAAACAGGTCTCGGTGCAGATTGCATCAGAAAATAACATCTCCAAAAAACTCTCTCCCTCTGTGTCATATGATGGCCCTCAAGCATGGTTACCCCTCGCTGCTCCGGTCCGGGCCCATGTGATTAGAAGTGCTCACATCTCTACTGAACCCAGATGAAGTCAGATACGGCGTCAAAGGAAGAAAAGATTGAACAAAGTCAAGTTCTCATAAAAGGCAGCGAATTCTGATAAAAGTTTTTTTTTCTGCTTTCTTGCACAGAGTGAGATAAGATGATTGATACCACTGTCATGTCTGTACAACAAATTTGAGGAAGACGGCAGCAGGAGGTTAGCTTAGCTTAGCATAAGACAGGCAGGTGGATAGAAGTTGCTTGGCTCTGCTCCAGACTACCTGTTCTTGGACGTACCCAGTTTGTTTTAATCCTTTACAAATACCACTAAATGACAACGAGACATTTTATGAACGGAGTCGTCTGGAGCCTTAAATGGTTGCCTAGCAACCGATTCTAGCTTTCTCTGTCCCTGTTTACCAATTTTGGTGCTAAGCTAAGCTAACTGGCTGCACCGCATTAACCATTCAGGCTTAAGGGGGGGAATCACATCCTAATCCTGGCAGGAAAGCAAATAAGCATATTCTTTTTCTCTCTTTTTTTTTTTTTTTTTTACAGCTATACAACACGAGATAACAGTTTTTATTACTGACAAATAAAACAAGTCTATTTTTATCAACACTACTGGCAGCGAATCCCAGGCCAGCTATGGATTTCCTCGCCTGCCTGCATTCTTCATGCATGATTTTAGGGCTCCAGGGCACCTGCTAGGTGTTCTTTGATTTCGATCCAGCGCCAGGCTCTCTACAGCTCTCGCCGTGTGCTAGCATAGGATATTCTGTGTTCGGCGGTGTTTTTGTAGTAGCTTCCTATAGCTTTGTTACTTTGTTAGGTGTGGTGAGCCTGCATGGCCTGGCCTGTTTTCCGCTGCTGACCATGATGTCTCTGTTCCCCGCAGATCAGCCTTTGAGCAGGACGTGGAGCATGGTAACACAGATGGCCTGGGAGACTGCCAAAGTAAGCAGGCCCTCTTCACTCTTATCTTTCCTCCTCTATTCCATGCCCCCCCACCACCACCACCACCGCCGCCGCCGCCGCCGCCGCCACCATTCCTCTCTTCTCTGTTAACTCCTCTTCTCTCTCAGCCCTCCGTTTTTTCCTTCTCCGCTGCTGTCACCTTTTTCTCCCCCCGTCTGTTCCGCCCTCACAATCCTCTCTTTCAGCCTCTTCCATCCATCTGTCCCTTTCGGCTCTCGTCCTCTTCTGTCCTCCTCCCGCTGTTTCTCTGGTCCCCCGGTCAATAGAGTGTTGTGTCCCATTGGGCAGAGACTGGGTTCCTTCTTGCAAATCTCTCCGAAAACACAACACAAACATTCAGCGCCTCACAGGGAAGGGATTTTACTTGTGGGCAGTCACAGGGCTCGTTTTGAAACACACACAACAAGACGGGGCTCTCGACCAAATCGGTCTTGAAAGGTCTCTTTTTCCCCTCAACACAGGGACTGGCGCATATGGAGACTGTATATTTGATCTTTTCATGTCCAGGATAACTGTTTGGATTTGTCAAATAGGACGCCCTGTTGATATTCGACTGAGCGGCTCAGAAACTTCAAAACAAGTTGACATTAAATCACCCGTCTTAGTCCATTTCATCTCAATTTTGGATGTTTATTCAGCGTAAATAACGGCGGCGCATCTTCCCTTCAGTTTCATCAGTATGTTTAGTCAAGGGAACCCGTCGTGTTGAACCTTCATTAGCTGCAGAAGCCATATAGATCACCTCTGATTAGAAGTTGGAGGGATATCGAGCAAGGCAGTCGATTCTGAATTACTTTAAAAGTCATGGCTTTTGATCATGTTAAAGCATAAGCTCCCGTTACTTGCAAGCGATAACACGTTTCTCCTCGTCTCTTTTTTTTTTTCTTCTTCCAGATACCTTTGTGGCACTGAACGGTAAGTATCCCTCATGCACCGCACAGGCAATCAAATAAAAGACAGGATGCTCGTTAAACTTCAGACACACCTCCTCGGCTAGTCAGTCAATCATCCCCTCTCAAGGAAATGAAAACTCCTCCCACACGCGTAAAGACGGGTTATTAATGACTCGAGGTTTTAACTGAATTGATTTCGTTCCTTCCTCTCGATAGACATCCCTTCCAGTTACCAAGGTAATGAAACATTAAAGCGCAGTCGGTCACATTCGTTCCTCGTAGTGTTTCCCCTTCATCCAGCCCCCTCTTTGATGTTTAGAATAAAGGTCACGGAGTTGGAAATCAGGATTAAAATCTTTAATGCTGATTCTGATTCTATTAGTTCTATTAGACCTCCTCTCCTTCCTTGTTTCGCCCTCATCCTCTTTATCCCTCGTGCAATAGCATCGATTAGCCCTGACCTTTTGCTTCGCTAATTGGATGGATCTGGTTGTTGGTGGCTGGTTTAAAGCCTCGACGGTGAAGCGATGCCTCAGCGTTCGCATTAAGCCGGACATGTGTCGACGGAGAGAGAGAGCGAGAGCGAAATGTTAAACTGCTCTGTTTAGAGTCACGAACAATGCTTCTGCCAATTGCGCCAGACTCTTTGGACAGTCAAAGATGGTTAATTGAAAAAGGGCTAATGTAAACACAGATTTTTTTTTTTCTTTCTCACAGATATGTTTGCAATCACACAACACAATCACACTTTCACTCGCCGGCTGATTGATAGCGTTTACGTCACTCGACTCTTTTTTTTATTTTTTTTATTTAAAGAATGATGTGATTAGCCCGCAGCAAAGTCACTCTTATCCGTAACACCCACACCTCCACTCCCATCCACCTTATTTTTATCTAATCGGAGGGCGCATTCGTTTGGTTTTCTCTCTCTTTCACACACACACATGCATGCATACCTCGCAGCTGCCAGATCAAAACAGTCAGATCCATACAGAATGACAAGAATAGAATATTTTGAAGTCATTCCAGAAAGCCCAGCGCTCTCTCTCCCTCCTGTGGCTGTACCCCCACTGTGATTCTCCCTTCTTTTGGAGATCCAGGGTCATGGAAAAAGCATCTGTGTTGCTGTGCGCCCCCATAGAGCTGAGTGCGCTCCCACAGGCTCGGCTGTGTGTTTTCAGGCACATACACACAAACAGGCAACACCCAGTTTACAACCGCCCCAAACAAAGTCTCAGCCACTGCCCGGGCCCTTCCATCTATCTGTCGGGGCTTGATATGGATTTGAAGATAAATAAATGCCCCCCCCTCTCTCTCTATTCTCCTCTCTCTCTCCTACTCCAGACTAGACATCCTCGCCTCTCTTTTAATCTGTAGAAAGAGAGGGATGTGCATCCGTCGGCAGTTTAGGAGCTTTTTTTTTTTTTTTTCTCCTCCTGATCCGTGGAGGAGCTCCGAGGCTCCGAGCTCTCTCTATGTGTGTCATCTGCCTGAATTGCACTTCCCCTGGCGGTGGGGGAATGAATTATAAAATAGGCCTGTCACACTAATCTCTCAGCCTTGGGCCAATAGTTAAATAAATCATTTTAATGATTGCCACGCCACACAGAGGAGGAGGAGGAGGAGGAGGAGGAGGAGGAGGAGGCGCTGGGTGGCGTTGTGTGTGTGTGGGTGTCTGTAGTCTACCAGCAGCATCAGTCCTCATTCCTCCCCATCTTCAAACACCAGCATAAACACATATTGAAAAAAGGATCTCATGCACACACACACACACATGGCTGTCACCTCCTCCGTGGAGAGAGCGAGCGTATCAAAACGGTAAACTGGGGGTTGAGCTCCGCAAGAGGTCTGCTGATAAAAGTGTTGTCACTCCTCATCTAGGGAGGATTTTTTTATTTATTCTTTTTTTTTTTTAAAAAACAAACACGTGGCTTAAATACATTATACTTAAACACAATATATAGCTTGTGCAAAATTGTGTAGGGTGGCTTAACTGTAAGCATATGTGGGATGCTAATGTGATTAGCACGGTTCAAAAATAAACAGTCAGACAAAGCTCATGCACAAATTCCGCTTATGAAAGAAAGTGAGAAAAAAAAAAAAAAAGCCGAGACAGGCGGAGGCAGGGAAACGCAGATTGTTTCGGCGACACGAGGATGTCGACAGAGAGGAGACGTGCGCGATCCATCATCGGCGAGGGAAAGATTGCTTTGTTGCATTTGCACTTTGAGTGAATTCAGAGACATGGAGCGTGTGTGTGGTTCGCTGTCAGTGTCAATTAATCCACTGATTTATTTGTCAATTAACTGATTTACTATTTACTCTATAAAATGTCAGGAAAAAAAAAAAGCCTAAGAGTTGCGCAAGTGTGACGAGCACTCCAAAGCGAAGCCGTTGAGTTGAGCGAGAACGTCGCCGACCGCAGAATGTTTGACGTTTCAGCTTGGAAAAACGATCCTCTGTTTCTCGCTTTATGATTTTAAAAGTTATCGGCACCCGTGAAAATGAATCGAACGCAAAACTGATTGAAAAGTTCGATTTAAGGAACGCCGGAGAAAGGCAGCGGGGAGACGAACAGAAGTCAGAAGTGCTTTGCAGCTGAGGAAAAGTTACAGGCAGACTTCTCGACGGGAGCGATGAAAAGAAAGTTTGTCTCTTGTCCTTCATATCAAAGGTAGGCACCCTATGGTGACTGTGGAGGAATACAATCGTACTGCGCTCTGCTCTGACAGGCCCGACGGAGCTTTGACATGTCAGTCAGAACAGGAGGGGAGAGAATGAGAACGACAGAGAGGCGCAGAGAATGACAAAAAAATAAAAAAAGAGAAAGAAACACGTGTCTATCCTGAGAAACACACACACACATTTGCTAATGAGTCGCCCAGGGTCACAGGGAGAAACTATTTCGTTGCCTCACTCGGCCCAGCAGCTGTCCTTGTGTGTGTGTTGTCTGTGTGTGTGTGCGCTTCACCAGAGGAGTAGTTGTGTTGTTGCCCTGCTGGCCTGTGCTTGCGTGCACTGAAGCCTGTCCCTGTCTGCCCCGAGCGTCAGTTAACCTGTGTTGTGTCCGGCAGGCCACCATCACCACCACCATCACCACACCCTCTCACTTCCCACCTCGGCCCTCCCCGAGGCCGCGGAGGGGCCCCTTGGGCGGGGCCGCATGGTGGAGCGGAAGGACCCCCCCATGAGTTCTGACAAAGGGGAGGACCCCTACGTGGCGGTGCCCTCTCAGACTCAGCCCGAAGCCAATGGTAAGCCTTGGAACGCAACAGCGAGCAGTCAATTTGGTCCATTGTCACCTGTGGCAAGGGAGGGTGAGGCGGGGAGGGGAGGGATGAGCGGGGACGGG